ATGGAGTAGAAAAGAATGAAGCAAAAGCATGCCTCTTATATGAAAAATTGGCTGAGTCTGGTGAAAAGGGTGAAGATAGTTATTGTTATGGAAAAGAGAAGGAAAATGGAGAAAGCAACAAAAATAACAAAGAAACTTACCCTGGAACTAATAATGAAGATAAGGTGTAGAGAAAGTGTATAATAAAAAGAATTAAAGAAAAACGTTAGAGTACTACAAAAGGCCTACCAAAATGGAAAGTACAACTGGCATACCAAAATTGGTGACTGTTATTGAAATGAAACAAGGGTTAAAATAGATAAATATAAGGCGCCTGCCTATTATCAAGAATTTACTGAAATGTGTTGTGTTGAAGTGAATGAACATAAAGCATTCATTCATTATCAAAGACCTGCTGAAGCTGGTTATAAAAATGAGGCTGACAATGAAAATGCTGATGAGGACGATAAGGATGCTGATTATAAAATGGTTGTTAATAAAGAAGATACAAAATAGGAAGAAGCTAAAAGACCGAGGATATCTATAGACCTTACAAACCTTGAAGAAGCTTGCGACAACTAGAACAAAAAAGTAGAAAATTTAAAGGCATTAATAAGCTTTACAAGAAAATCAAAACAAATTGACAAAACTTACTTCAAGCCACATGATCAAGAACTGAATAACGGACAAGAGAAGACTACTGTAATTGTTATAAATTCTCTGAGATCAGTACTTCTGCAAGATACTTTAGCATCTAACTATCCTAAAGAAAACAGAAAAGTGATAAATTGGTTAAAGTGAAACACATATCAAAGAAAAAAGAACAAATCTGATACTTACTACCACATGATCATAATAATGAGGTATTATTTTTTATTTTATTTTATTTTTTTTTAAGGTGTCCTTCGGGATCGAGCTTTATTGATATTTTGTTGTTGATCACATGGGTCTACATTTTAGTATTTACATACTTTACCAATTATTTTAAACTAGGTACCTTTATATCGAAGTGCTTCCTGCTAACCTTTTTACCTAAATTAGGTTACCCCAGTTATCTATAGGTCTTCCCAGGTGGGTGTAACAAATGCCCTTTAATCCTTCTATGTCCCACATATTTCCAGACCAGGCTTTTTGAATACCTTCTGCAGCAGCCAAAACCACCACTAGCAGTCAGGCCTAACCGTTAAACTACACAATTCCAGTATTCGTGCTCTTGTAAGGTTCATTCGGATCCCAATATCACATTCAATCCGTTCTATTACCAATCTCTCCCTAATTACCAAACCAGTTAGCCCGGATGGGTCATTGTACCTCAGCTTTAAGTGCCTTCTGATTATACTTCTCTTGGTTCTTAATTTTGTAATATAGGACCTTTTCTTCTGGTGCAACTCCAGCGGCCAGGTTGGTAGGCCCTTTTTGGCCCAGGGTTTTCCGTCTGGTTCTTTGGTCTCTAGTTCTGGTTTTCTTGTAGTATCGTTGAAGATCTTCACTACCTCCTTACTCGGGTCTTCCCAAACAGGCTTCTGCGTCCTTTTCATGTGTACGGATTTCTATACTCAGCAAAGAACTTATCTTGAGTTTGCATCGCCTAATACTGATTTGCATTTCTCTATGTAACACAGATGCCTCTGACCTCCCAAACAAGTTGGTGCAACCACATTACAGGTGTCTAACCCCATGTAACAGAAGCAGTTGCTGTAATACAGGTATATTTTCTGAATTTTGTCATAGGTGGGATTCGAACTCTAGACCTGCTGCTTGGAGGTGTGACAACTTACCAACTACACCAAGTCGCCACACCCTTATAATGAGGTATTAAATCACAGATAATTTCGGTTGTGAGGTGCTTATTTTCAGAGGTTAATGATTATCATAGGAGGTGCTTATTTTTAGGGGGTGTTTATTTTCAATGATTTATGATATTTGAATTCTGCTCTATAAAGGTCTTTTTATATGACTTTTTATACAATTTGTGTTTACTAATACCGTATTTTACCAATAATAAGCACCCTCCCGAAAATAAGCACCCCTGGCCTGCATTATACAAAATTTGGCCTGAATTATAACTGCCTTGGCCAACATTACGTGCAAAAAAAGGGTGCTTATTATCGGTAAAATACGTTATTTGAATTTTTTATTATCTAAACCTTTATTTTTATATAATTATGAATCTATTTTTAAAGTGATATATTATGATCTTATATATAAATTGTGTATAATAATTATATATATAGGATCATATATATAATAAATTATATATAATGATTTTATACATAATAATAAAACTAAAAGCAGAGATCATAGGGGTGAGGCAACTTAGTGAAGTGGTTAAGTTGTTGCCTCCCAAGTGGCACATCCAGAGTTCAATTCCTACTGATGACAAAAAATCGAATTTTTCTGTATATTAATAACTATTCGGATGTTGGGATATAAATTCTGTAGCAACAGTCAGACCAAGGAGTAATGATCGCCTAACAGATGGCTTATCTCGTAAGTCCTATTAGAGGCAGTAGTACAGACTTGGGAGATTATAGGGTATTTGTGTAATAAAAAAGTTATATGAAGGGATACAAACTGATAAAAGGTGATATAAACCTATAATAAGTCCCTGTGACCTGTATAAATCTAGTGGACTAATCCCGAATAGGAATTCACTTGGCAAGTTCTGAGTAGAAAGATAGCGCATACTTTTGACAGTTCTAGAAAGTCTAAGAAGGAAACCGGAAGCTGCGGATCTGGACAAAGACCAGATGTTTGGCGAGCACCATACCAACCAGGCTACCGAAATCGACTAGAAGAAAAGAATATAGGTTGGTATCCGGGTTAAGCCAGTAGGAAAGCAGGTAACATAATTTGTGGACCAAAACTAGGCTATCTGAATTGGGAGTTTGGTGAAACAGTGAAAGAGTTCCGGATTGAATAAGTATCAGAGCTAGAGTATAAGTGAACTCTATAAGGGCAGAAGTAGATAACGGTAGCAGCTTTGGCTTCGACTCACAAGTACTTGTTTTCAGACTAGCCGTAAGTTACCGAAGTCTAGATCAGCCTAAATGTGGATATGGAAAGCTTTAGCAGGTTTACCTCAAGGTCAAAGGACTCCCTAAAATGATAGAGACTGCTTTAAAGCCCTAAACCAGCATGTGAAAATAAGGTAGTACTATGTATCATCGCTTAGATATAAAAGGGTTGGTACATAGGCATAGAGGGTTTAAATGGGTATCTCCTTAGTTGAGGTGCAGGTACAGCATCTAGTGTAGCAATACTTAAATAGGTGCTCAAAAGGCGCAGATATGGCTAATTGTACTCTACAAATATGTACAGCCTTCGGAATGTTCTGAAGGTTAAAAATACTACTAATATTCAAATAAAGAGCAGCATAGCAAAGAGGTCACTTTAAAAAAAAAAAAAAAAAAAAAAAAAGCAAAGATCATTGAATTAAAATTAGAAACTCTTTCCTGTATATCACTAAAATTAAGTAAACAACAAATAAAAAATTGAAAACTATAGATTATAACTAATTAACTATACAAAACAACGACAGAAAGTGTGCGATACACTTCTAGTGAACCCAATAGACAACAAATATCAAAATAACTAAAAGAACAAGAGATGAAAGCAATAACAACCCAATACACAAAATAACCTACAAGGTTAGGGAGCTTTTAGAAATTACGTAATTTTTGGTTACTAATAAATTTTAAAATTTTACACCCACCTACTCATATATGATATTCTATTAGCCAATCAAATTTTAAATAGTATTTTTTAAAAATTATTTATATATTCTAATTTTTAAAATTGATAAACTTTTGATTTACTGATCTAATTAAGATGATTTAACTACCAAAATTATCACCTTAATAAGATGATTCTAACAAGCCTAAAATCATTAAAATCTAATTACAGAGTCCTAAGATTATTTAATTTTTATGTAATTTTAATAGTGATTTTTAGAATCACTAAATAAATTATTTAAAATTTAATAACTTTTGATCCATTGACCTATTTTGGATGATTTAACTACCAAAATGATCATTTCAGTGAGACAATTTAAACAAGCCCAAAATCACCAAATTTAATTACAAGATTTCAAGATCGATAAAAATTTGTATTGTTAGACAATTATTTAATTTATATATAATTAAATAATTGTTTAACAATACAAATCTTTATTGATCTTGAAATCCTGTAATTAAAATTTAGTGATTTTGGACTTGTTTGAATTGTCTTACTAAGATAATCACTTTGGTAGTTAAATCATCCAAAATGGGCCAACAGATCAAAAGTTATTAAATTTTAAATAATTTATTTAGTGATTCTAAAAAATTACTATTAAAATTACATAAAAATTAAATTATCTTAGGACTCTGTGTTTGGATTTTAATTATTTTGGGCTTGTTAGAATCATTTTATTGAGGTGATCATTTTGGTAATTAAATCATCTTAATTGACCTAGTAGATCTAAAGTTATTAATAATTTTATAATTTTATACTTTTAGCCAATATTATTTTATATTTTAGCCAGAATTATAAAATTTTGATCAGAATTATAACCTGATATTTTGGAGACCCCACCCACCTACCCAAAAATTACATAATTTCTAGAACCCTCTTTACCTCACAACCAAAGAGGAAAATCAGAAAAATGGATTACTAACAACAGTCTACAAAGACACATATAGCAGATAGTACTAATATAACCAAAGACTACTATACTAACTACATCAATAGACATCCTAACAAAAAACAACAATAAGAAGGCTCTTCTTGCTCATCTCTATATTCAAAAAGTAGCAAATCTAGCTCACTTCCATCAAATTCAACTATGACGTCATCCCATATACACAACAATACAATCATAGGAAAAAATAACAACTATGTGCCTATATCTGATTACAATAACAACAACCCAGTTTAATACAACAACAACAAAACACAACAATCCTAAACAGTAAATACAACATACCTACAACCTCTAGTCAACCCATGGAATATGTCAGAAACACAGCTAGATGATCTACTAACTACTGAAGCTTTTAGACTATATACTACACCTACTCTAATAATAACACAGCCTCTCTATAGCCAGGTAGTACAACCTAAACAAGACCAACAAACACCTGACAAAGCTACACTCTGGTTACAAGCTATATTAAAAATTCTACAACAAGCGACTAATACACCCTTCAGTTATGAAATCTGAAATAATGACAAGATTTTAGAAGCACTTAAAAGTCTACAAGATATAATCTAATATGTCCAATACAAAGTATCTTTATTATTTACTAATCACACAATTCCTCCAGCTATCGAACTTAAATTTAAATACTGAGACACAGCCTTCTTCCGCACTTTTATCAAGTCAACCAAAACAAAACCAGCACACCAAACTGAATACAAAAATCTTTTTACAAAAGCATTCAAAAAATATAAAGAAATGTATAACATACCTATCATTACTAGAGAAAATAAAGAACAAATTTATACAAAACTTAGACAAAAAGTAATGATTGATT